CCAGTAATCGATCTACGGTTTAATCACTCCCACAGCACCTGAGGTTCTTGCTGAGCAGAAAGCCTTCCCTTCGAGCGACATTTGGTCTCTTGGTTCCCTCATCTACCTGCTCCTGTCGGGGAAGAGTGCCTTTGGCGGTGTGGACGACGAGGACACGCACCAGAACATCCTGCACGTGAGATATCGGTACGAACATCTGGGAAGCAACACGACGCAAGAGGCCATTCGCTTCCTGATGCTCATCTTCAAGAGAGATCCCAGGTGATTTTTTTTTGAAGCCATTGTGTATAGATGTCATAAAGGCTGTCAGACTGATATGTGCAGTTCGTTAATTGAGTTCTAAGTCATATACTGATAACTATCCTTAGAGTAATTTCTAACACACCATAATCCTCATCACACCAGCAAACGACCAACCGTAGACGACTGCAGGGAACACAAATGGTTGGTGGAAAACGACTACATTGTTAAGAAACGAGAACGAGCTACGTTCTTAGGCAGCCAGCTAAGGGTCAGTATAACGGTTATTATCTGCCTGAGAGAGAGAGAGAGAGAGAGAGAGAGAGAGAGAGAGAGATTGAGAGAGGAGAGTGAGAGAGAGAGAGACTAGAGAGAGGAGAGAGAGAGAGAGTGAGAAGAGAGAGAGAGAGACGAGAGAGAGAGAGAGAGAGAGAGTGAGAGAGAAGAAGTGAGAGAGTGAGAGAGTGAGAGAGAGAGAGAGAGAGAGAGAGAGAGAGAGAGAGAGGAGAGAGAGAGAGAGAGAGAGAGAGAGAGAGAGCAGAGAGAGAGAGAGAGAGAGAGGAGAGAGAGAGAGAGAGAGAGAGAGAGAGAGAGAGAGAGAGAGAGAGAGAGAGAGAGAGAGAGAGAGAGAGAGAGAGAGAGAGAGAGAGAGAGAGAGGAGAGAGAGAGAGAGGGGCGGGGAGCGGGGAGAGAGAGAGAGAGAGATGATATATTATGTTTTTTTCAACCCAGCTTATAATGAAATTTGACTTGCAGGACTTCGACCAGGCCTACCATAAGGAGAGAGCAATCGCGGCCACCAAGTCCCTGCATCTCCTCACTTACGGCGGCAAAGAAATTCCGGCGGCCATCACTTACGAACCAGAGACGCAATAAACCCAACAGGAAAACTGGGAACAAACTTAAGTTTTAAGGTCGTGCTGCTATCTGCCAAAGAGGATGTTTGCCCCAACTTTTTCTTCTTCAGATGTTTACGTCTCTATTTGGGAATGCTTGATTTCGTGTGTTCCGTACGAGTCTCTGAATGTCAATGCCCCTGCTTGAGCTGATTTCGCAACTGCAGCGACTTGCAACAGGAGCGGGTCTTAATGCCGAAGCGCTTCCAGCAGAGACACATTTTCACGGCCTGCCTAGACTGATTTCGGAGCTTGGCATACGTTTCCGATCATTTGGTGGCAATACACGATCGACTTTATTTCTTGAAGAAAAAAAAAAAAAAAACGATATGATTACTTTCTTGTGGAAAGCCAAATCAAATTACGTCCTGAACATTATTTTGGAAGTTGCCGGTGTTCTTACGTGTAGTGAAATTTCTGTGGTGCTTCATCGCCAACTTTTATGTAAGAAATTTATTATCATGGGCGAGAAAGTACAAGAATGGTTGGCCGTTCTGATTTTATTTGAATATTCCTTGTTTATTTTCAGATTTAGAATATATGAGTTATATTGGCAGTAGAATAAGTAGGATATATGAGATACTCACTTTATTATGGGCTGAAAATGATAGTCTTGCAGATTGTATGGAATATCTATTTGATTTGTTTTGTGTTCACGTAATACATTTTCTTTATCATCGTAGAATTTTGTTTTAGTTGGCGATTGTTTCAGTTGCTTCTGGAATTTAGCAATGCAGAATTTTCTCTCTAGTTTATCTTTATTTTCTTGTTACGTGAAGCTGTCAGTATTCCAGAGTTAAAAATAAGACCATAGAATTTGGCGCTTTTGGTAAAACTAGTCTTAGGAAGAATATAGTTTAGTGCACTGCATCGACGTGGAAAAGACTATATATGAATGCAATTCTTTTCTTGAAATAGAAGATAACCAGCATACATGTACCCAACACTGGGTATGCGAATTCACATTTTTGTCTCTGTCATGACGTCTATCTCAGTAGTTTCAGAATAAGGCTTCGGTACACACTATTATGACCACAGTGCCTTAGAATAATGTTGTTTTCGAAAGTTCTTTGAGTAATCTACCTTTTTGGTGAACCTATATATAGCGATGCATTAAAAGCCTCTGCCATATATTTTTTCTGATCTGCATATGATAGTTGTAGTCACCCATACTAGTCTGTTAACTGTATTGTTTGTCACATGTTTGAGGTTGTTTGCTTTTTCTTTTGCTGACGTTCTTCGTCATGGTCATGGTCAGTCGTGCTGATTAAGGGCCGGCTGGAGAATGATCTTGAAGGAACTAGTTTAATGTTGTACAGAATATTGGTATCGTCTGATTTTGACGAATATAAAGCTTTCATTATTTCCCTGTTTTATTTCCTTTCTTCATCATTTGCTTCATTATTTGTAGTGCATTAGACCTGACCATTGCAATGCACACACACAATTAATTTTCCAATATATCACGCAGGCTGAGATAGGAATTTATTTGCAGAAAAGGTATGAATGAGACTGGATATCTTCACAATACAATGTATTTGACCGGTTTCGATTACGTCTTCATCAATATTTCTAATGAAGACGTAATCAGTAATAGATAAGATCTGCATGGAGAATGTTTTGTACCATTATGAAGTCAAATCTCAGGAAATCCATACCCAAGAGCACATCACCGGGAAACTCTAGATAATCTGTTACCACAAATCTGTGTTTGCAACTCATACCTGCAATCTCAATTTTAATGTCAACTTCTCCTGTTTGCAATGTTGATCCAGAGACGTCTGTTAAGGATTTCACACAAGGGCGTATTCTGCCTCTGTATGTTTTCCAAAGGTCCTTTTTACCAAAGAAACTGAAGAACCCGTGTCGAGAAAGGCTTCCTTCCTAGACCGATCACAAAATAGCTAAATAAGTGGTCGTCCTGTAGGTGTATCAGAAATATGATTAATATATTTAGAATTAAATGGCAAACAATTAGGTATATGGCATCTTTCAGAAAAAAAAAATCAGAAACCAAGTCATTAACTGGACCCGTTGCAACTGCAGACTTCTACATGTTAGTAGCGTCCCGAGGTAAGGCCTGCGGCGTCCACTGATGGGAGGTCGATGAAGCCTGGTATGCTGAAAAGGGACACGATCGACGTTGATGCCCGGGGTTACCGCAAGGCCAGCACACGTTACCGGGAGGTTTAGCTCTACAGGAAGATGTGGAGTGGCATCTGCATTTATGGAAGCCGCAGTAAATTTCATCCTTGTCATTGATAGCTGCAATTTGTGAACGAGAATTCTGTTTACATGCAGATCTACAGTCCAAATTTTAGCTGCTGTATCAACCAATTCGTCAACAAGTTCTTAATAGATATACTTGTAAAAGATTGGATAAAGATCTTCAGTCATTCATTTTCTATCATTCATTACTTTCGTAACTTAAAGTTGTTAATCATTACTTATTGTTCATAGCGTAATTAACCTTGCCATGATTTTATAGCATTTAATTATCTTTCAATATTATCATTTATAAAAATGTATTATTATTTCTTATTTAATATTAGTTAATTATTTATCTTTTTCATATCAGTATGATTTTCCAGGAGGCTCCAGGTTACATATATAACTATTCATGTATGGTAATAAGAAAAAGAATTGAGTAAAGATACGTATGTATTTTCTTTTAAGGAACTCATCTCAGATCAGAAAATAAACATAATAAGATTTCCCCACATGCTTACAACAATTGTCGGGGGACAGGACAGGACTCGCACAACAGTTGAAATAGTAGTCGCCTTGCCGCGCTCTCTCTCTCCCTCTGCCTTGTCTTGGCAGAACGAGGGGTATATATGCGGGTAATTACAGCCAATGCCAAGACGGCGCGGACTCGTCTGCCGACTCGTTTGCATACTCGAATTGGCGGACTGCGTCTTGAGTACTGTTACGGCGCTTGTGCTTGTTCCTGCGTTCACTACAATATCTCCCACGGCAGAAGAGACGGAAAGCCTCAGCGTCAGCTCATCAGGCAAGTCCTCGCGGAAGAAGCGGCGAGTCTTCCTCCAGAACCCTATCCACGGGAGGCGGCCCATCAGTCTTCGGGATGGTGTGGCGGCCCTCAGCACAGGTTTACGGGTTTCCGAATTTCGTCTGAGGCTGAACGTCTTGACAGCAACTTCACTGGCCAGGATCCAGGCAGGGATGGGATACAGACAGACATGGAACAAAACTGTAGACACGCAATGCAGGCGTAACTCAAGACGAGTAAGCAAACTGAAAAGAAACGACAATTAGTAAGTACATAGAGGAAATCTATATATTATTTCATGATTTGAGATCGAATTATCATAGGGCGCAACCGAGAATAATCAAATTGAACAAGAGAATCATAATCCTGTGGCAACAGCGAAAATTCAGTATCACAAGAAAACAACTTTAACTGGTTCGCATGAACCTTTCTTTCAGCAAATGGTGGGGACAAATCACGAACGATAAAGGTTACTGGACTGGTCAACCGACTCACTCCACACGGACCCAATCACCTAGGGTGCAGAGCACGACTAACACCTTCAACTTGATCATGAGACCGTCGCATTACGAGAGATCCGACATTAATTTTCTGTTCACGAACTTTCCGATTGTAGTATTTAGCATTTTCTGCTCGTGTTTTGCAAAAAGTTTCAACTGCTACTTCTTGAGCTTTGAGAAGCCTGAGAAGATGATGGGTACTTGTATTATCCTCATTCATGGTAACACGGTTGGTGAGCCCAGTTAGATAAGAGAATGAATGACCCATGAACAGGAACAAAGGTTGGTTATAAATAGCATTTGGGGTACATATTCATCCCGTGACAAGGAGGCATCATCACAGAGAGTAGCTATAGTATCTTTTACGCATCTATTGCTTCTTTCGACCAAGCCGTTCGCCTGAGGATAAAAAGGCGTTGTATAATACATTTTAATGCTTAAAATGTCACAGACCAGAAAATAATTTGTTCTTGAATTCTGAACCACTGTCTGTAGTTAACATTCTAGGAACTCCAAATAGTGTGAAATAATGTTCCACAAAGGCATCCATCATCTATTGCCTGGGCACTCTTATTTGGAAGAGGAATAAGTTGCAAATACCTGCTCATGTAGTCTATCATGTAGAGAAGATAACGGTTTCCATTATATAAGCTGTGGAGATCCATCAGATCTGCATTAATTCTATCCAGAGGAGAAGTGACAACAGGTATTTGTGAAAGCGGAACGTTTAGCTTTACACTTCCTCTTCTCTTTTGAAATGGAAGACAGGCGTTGACATATTCCTTTGTAGCTGAAAGCATGTTCAGGAAATAATAATGCTCTTTTAGTTTGTGCTATGTCCTGAAAATACCAGGATGCGTTGCTATAGTGGAATCATGAGATATTCTTATAGCTTCCTTCTGGCGCCTTAGGTATAACCAGCCTATGAATAATCTTGTCAGAACATACCTTTAGATGATATAACACACCATCTTTAAGTTAACGTTCTTCTAAGAATGTTGGGAGACGTTTTTTGTGGCAGTGCAGAACCTTCCAGGAATTTTAACTTCGTGCCATATGGTAAAGGATTTGCCATACAGATATGCATCAAAATGTCTCACAGATTCTATTATGGCAAGTCAGTAACGCTGTAACGAATTTCGAACCCCCTCGACTTACGTGAGTAATAAGCAACAACACAGGGGTTACCTTCAGAATTAACTTGCATGAGGTAAGAACCTATACCCACTCTTGAAGTGTCTGTGTGGAGTTCGAAAGGAGCCGAGAAATCAGGTCTTCGCAATACTGGTGCCGTGGTTACGAGATGTTGAAGCTGACGAAAAGCTGCATTATGTTCTGCATTCCATTTAAATGGCTGGCTTTTTCTGGTGAGAGCTTAATGGAGCTGCAATGGTAGCAAAGTGGAATGTGGCGATGAAAGAAGCCAACGCATCCCAAAAATCTACGAACTCCAGTTACGTCTGTGGGTGGAGGTAGCTCATTAAAAGACCGAACCTTATCTGGGTCATGAGATATACCATTTATAGAAATTTTTAACCCCAGAAACTCGAAATCTTTAACAGCAAAGCTGCACCTATCTAAGTTCAATTTTAGGCCTGCTTTGTTCATCAATGCAAGTTTCGTTTAAATGATGGCAATGTTGCTCAAAGTTTTTAGAAAAAATAATCACATCATCTAAATATGCTAATGTTTTCCTATCACAGGAGACAAGATCATATTTATAATTCTTTGGAAGGTAGCAGGGGCAGTCTTCAAGCCAAATGGCATTCGTCTGAACTGCCATAATCTGGACCCATCTGAAAAGGCCGTTTTCTTGCGGTCTTCTGGAGCAACTGTTATACTCCAGTAAGCAGCTCTTGCATCTAGAATACTAAAATAAGTATTGTCACGGAGATCATCCAGAATTTCATCAATTCTTGGTAATGGATATGAATCACTTATTGTTTTAGCATTCGGATTATGATAATCTACACAAAAACGCAGATTACCGTCTCGTTTCCTAACTAGAACGACTGGCGAGGACCAAGGAGAACAAGATGGCTCTTTGACTTGGGCATCCAGCATTTCTTGGCAGGTCTTCTTTATTACCTTCTTTGGAGAGTATGGCAATCTCCAAAGCCTGGTGCAGATTGGCGTACTGTCTGCTGTGATGATTCTGTGAACTGCACTTGGAATGGTTCCAATTGTTGACTTTTCACCAGAAAACAAACTTTTATATGTAAGCAAGATATCTTTCAAGTTCTTACGTGATTTAGGAGGCAAATGTTGGTTTTCCTACTTCAATGGAGAAATCTGTGGGGTCTGAAGCAGAAATGGTCGAAACTGAAAGTTCTGAAACTGGCTCGACTTCAGCCAAGCATGTGCCCGTACGCAATTTCAGAGCATGAGCAGAGTCATTAACTATCCATATATCAACTTTCCCATCTTTATTCTTGACTATGCTTCTTGGAATCAGTATGGAGGTCATCAAGCCAGAAATGAAAACGTCACATATTTTTCAAGAGAGAAGAGTTTGATACGGAAGCTTGAATAAAACGTCCTGAATGAGGATGGCATACTGTGGTCCTGTGCACATGGGAATAAGATAAAGATTGGCGGTGTTCAAACATCTGAAGAGATATGGTAGAAACAGGTTTAGACGAGTTGACACTCTGGATACGGCATGAGACATTATCAGTATATTTCAAAGGTAAGCTGATATCCTGCAGTAATAGATAAGATCTGCATGGAGAATGTTTTGTACCATTATGAAGTCAAATCTTCTCAGGAAATCCATACCCAAGAGCACATCACCGGGAAACTTTAGATAATCTGTTACCACAAATCTGTGTTTGCAACTCATACCTGCAAT